TGTTAGCACCCTGTCAATTATTGACATTATGGACTATGAACAACAATAAAATCAAATTATTGAGAAATTAAAAACTGAAATAATCAAATATGACCATTTTAAAAAAGGTGAGATGTAATGTTTTGACATGACAAACCATGAAGTATTTAAAATATCTTCATCCTATCATTAAGAGAGGTCCAGGAAAGAACTTGTTGCCATTTTGGTAGTTTTCTGAACTGAAAGACTTAAAGATCATTATCAGAATATTACTACAGACTCCCCATGTAAATAGACTTTGACTTAGATTGCACTCTATGTATAACATCATACACTGTTGTTTTCTAATGGAGCCCTCAGATGACATGCATAAATACATTTTATTCAACACTGTGTTTCCGTGGTAAAAGAAAGTACACATCATTCCTTTCTTGAGGTCTCGATTTATTTAGCCTATCTTGTTATCACAGGATAGCAACGCTAGATTTTCCAAGGTAACAACTCAATTTCAACCGTTCCCTTCAAGATCTTGAGAATTTAACTTGTCATTTTGGGAAAACCAGATTGTTATCCTCCTGTTTTCCTATTCCCATCTTGCCAAACACTCTATGAGCAGTCTGATGTTGGACAGGCACAGAAGATAGCGTCCGATCCGACCCACTTTCTTCAATCCTTTTTACCTCTGGGAGAGAATCAGGGTCCCTCAAACTAGGCTGAACCAATATAAACACTCATTTATTCCGATGTCCACTAATATTCTGAATAACAGGTAACTTAGGATGTGCCAAGAGGCCGTGCAATATGTCAATATATCACTGCTATAAGGTGTTTATGTATGTATATTTGGAATTGTTACATTAAATGCTGTGTGTTTTATAAGATCTCTATTTGTTGATTCTCTTGTAACTGCAGGACAGAGACCTAGACAGATTTCCCTTTGGGGACAATAAAGTATATTTAACTGAACTTAATCAGATGATAAACTTTATTATCCATGAAGCTATTTACTTCATTTCACCAAAACCATGTGTTTAGTGAGTGTATTATGTGTGAGTAAAAACGCAAATGTATTCATTCTAAAATGAGATTTTACTGTATACAGCTTTATTAGGAAATGTCTATACAGAATTAAATAAAGGTGTAAAGGGGAAACCTAATAGAAATAATGAATTTAGAAAATCTTCCAAACCCTTCTGGAATCAGGAATTGCAGTTGCTGTGGGACAATTTAAGAACAGCAGAGAAAATCTTTCTAAGATATAAGAATAAAAACCTGAAAGTCAGACTGAGGATGGAACTCAAGGAAGCACAAATCAAATTTGACAAGAGGTTACGCACAGTGAAACTCAAGTTTAATAGAGGCCTTTCATTGCACATTGATCACCTTCAAACCCACAATCCCCAACAGACTTGGAATGAAATTAATAGATTAGGGTCTTGAAAGTCTAGTGGAATTCCTATGGAAATGAAACTAGAGAGTGGGGAATGTACTTCTGATTTAGGAATTTTACGAGATAAATGGCAAAAGATTTTGCAGATCTGTTCTCTAGGTGCAATGATTCATTTGATGATGCTTTCTTGAAGGAAACAATCAGCTTACAAGAGGTAATGGAGTCTGAAATGTTATCTGATGTAAATAATAGTAATAGATTTTTGAATTAAAATTTTTCAGTAGAGGAGGTAGAAATTGTAATACAAAAATGCAAATTTAAAAAAGCTACCGGAACTGACGAAATTTCAAACAAAGTGCTTAAGTCTCCAAAGCTGTTCAGTATATTATATGAGTTATTTCAGTTCTGTTTTGATAATTTGATTCCACTAGGATACCACTCAATTACAAGGGTATAAGTCTTATTAGTTCTATAAAATTGTATTCTTGGATTTTAATCTGCAGACTAGTTGACCACCTTGAGAGAACGGGTGTTCTGGTGGATGAGCAAAATGGATTCAGAAAAGCTAGAGCATGTATTGATCATGTATACAGGATGTAGTCACCTCAATAATACGTGCTACGATGAAGGAAAAGAGATCAACATTTGCTTGTTTCATCGATTACAAGAAGGCGTTTGACTGGATAAATAGGGAGCTTCTACAATATAGGTTAAGTGCTGGTGTGAATGTGAAATTGTATTCCGCTGTGAAGTCTCTTTATCAAGCACCTGTTGCCTGCGTCCAGGTTAATGAATACACAACTGGATGGTTTCCTCAACAATTTGGAGTGAAGCGAGGAGATGTTTTGTCTCCGACATTGTTCTCTATTTACATCAACGATTTAGCTCTTCAAATTAAAACCTCTAATGTGGGAGTTAAAGTGGACGATCAGATTGTTGGAATATTATTATATGCGGATGATGTAGTTCTACTGGCTGAAGATGAAGATGATTTACAGATTATGCTGAATATTGTTGCAGAGTGGTGCTTGAAATGGAGACTAGTGGCAAATGAAGACAAAACACAAGTAGTACATTTCAGGCAAAAATCATGAGTAAGAAGTCCATTTATTTTTAATTTAGGCACAACAGTGCGATCATATGCTGATCAATATAAATATCTTGACTTGACATTGGATGAACACATGACTTTTAAAGAAGCTATGAGTGTTTTGACTCAGTCAGCTGGTCGAGCTCTGGGATCTGTACTGAACAAAGTTAAACACTGTGGTAATCTGGGATTTCAGAATTATACACAACTCTATCATTCATGTGTGTGTCCAGTGTCTGATTATGCTTCTGGTGTCTGGGGGTTCCTGGAACATCTAATTTGCAATTCTGTACATCAGAGAGCTCTGAGGTCCTTCTTGGGAGTCCATAAATTAACGCCAGTCCTCGCTGTGAATGGAGATATGGGATTGGAGCCTCCAAATATCAGACATAAATGTGAAATGCTTCAGCTTAAGTTAACTTGTGATGTTCAGGAGATAAAGAATAATATGTTTGTTATGTACAAAGAGAAATGGTCTGTAGATATATGGTACAAACCAAAACTAAGAACGTATTGTCTCATAAAGGATTGCTACAGTGTAGAAGCCCATGCTAAATTTAATTTATCCCTGAAAACTCACCTCTTCAACACCGCCTACAACCACTAACTGATCAACTCTTATTAACAGCATCCTAAGCTGAGCGGTTATGGCCTCAGAAAGTTAAAAACGTATTAAATCAAAGAATTACCTAAAAGAACAATATATATACTGTATATACAAACATCTGTTTTATATATTAATATCACTTTTAAAACATGTTTACAAAGTGCTTTGACTTCATGATAATGAAGTCTCTGAGGACAAATTCCTTCTGGTGCTCCATATTCATGATACATGTATCCTCATGGCACAAGTTCAATTTACCTTCAAAAGACCGCTGAGTTTATATACACTCGTATACCCTTAATGTGTCCTCAGAAACCCTTGATGTGTTCTCATATACCGTACATGTGTTGTCATATACTGTTGATATATTCTCATATACCATTGATGTGTTATCATATACTGTTGATGTGTTCTCATTAACATCTTCTTGTTTTGGTTGTTGTAGTTTATCTGGGAAACAAAGAGCCAATAGATTAATATGAGTAGGTAGATATTTATATATTTACATGATAAGTAAAGGGTGCATTTCAAGCAGAGGAATTCTTACCTGTCCCTTTTTGCTGAGGTTTGTTGTTGGCTCTAAAATGTAGAATAAGAAAATTTTTTAAATATTTCCAGATAGATGCTTGTGATCATCTTAATTAATACTTGTCTATTTGAAAGTACTGTTACTGAGCTCATTATGTTTAATCAATAATCAAGGCTAGTCAGTTGAAATTACAACATAACTGAACAACAATTCATTAAGAAACAAAAATGTCTGACTTGTTATGATATGAAGTTATTACACTCACTTCTTTATATAAAATGTGTCCTGTCATTGTGTCAACCTGAATCTAGTTTAACATTTTCTGTCTGCTTTTTCCTCTGAACTCACTCGTGTCTTCTCAGATCCCGACTCTCCCTTCTGTTTTGCAGCAATCTTTGTTTTTACACCAACTCCATTTTTACATCTTCTGAGCTGCACACTTGTAATATAATTTAACTCTCCTCCAGTCGCTTTCAATTTCGAGTGCTCGAGCAACGCTCTTTAACTACACAAACCCGTCATTGCGTTTTTAAACTTCTGCCCTTTGTGCTGCTTCATAAGCGGATAAGTCTTCCTAACTCTCTGGTAGGCTGGCTGGTATAAACTTCAACAGTTTTCTAACAACTTGTAATAATGAACTATTACATTCAAACACACTGGGATGAAAAAACAAGCTTTCCCAGTTACATTTCAAAGACCTTTTAACTTACTTCTTTTTGTAGATAAAGTATCCTGCAGCAGCAGCTGCTCCAGGGATCACCAAACATGCAATTACTATTCCAGCGATACAACCACCACTACAGTTTGATGGTACTACAAAGGATACCAAGAAAAGAGGAGGACAAGAACACATTCTGTAAACAGAAACTGTGCCATACTAACAGCAGATAGAAAGCATTCATTGACTTCCCCTGATTTCTACCGACAGATTATTGATGCACTATGGGTAATGAACCAGATTCAGTTTTAACAAGGTAAATGAATGCTTGACATAAAAACCACAAAATCTCTGGATCTCTTATCATTAATTTGAATACTATTTTAAGAACTTTAAGACTCACAATTTTAATCTGTAAAAGTGCATTTCTAAATTTGACCATTTTCAGAGAATCCTTCAGTAATATATCGGGGCGCTGATAGCCTAGTGCATGAGCTCCATATACAGAGTCTATAGTCCTCCAAACAGGTGGCTTGTGTTTAAATCTGACCTGTGGCTGCTTTTCCTCATGTCTTCCTCACTCATTTCCTATTCTATCCATTGTCCTATAATAAAGGCCAAAAGCCCACAAACAATCAATCTTTAAAGCCTCATGAACTGAAAATAGATCAGACACATTTAATTGGTCAAATTGATCTCAAAGACATGTCACACCAACAGAATCTACAATAAACACTATCTTGTTACCTATTACAGTCACTCCATGCACTGAAGAAGATGATCTTCCAGTTATGATATTCTTTGCTTGACAGGTGTAGTTTCCACTGTCGGACGCTTCAGCGTTCTTTTTAGTGTACTCAGGAGAATTGAGTATCTCTGTCCCATTCAGTAACCAGGTGAAGTTTGCAGGTGGTTCAGACTCGGCCTCACAGGTTAATGTGAAGGTGTCTCCCAAAGATATGTGATGCTGGCCTTCGATTTGAGTGTTTTCTGGTCCATCTGAAAAACAGTTATAGTTAATTGACGTTAGAAAAATTTAATTCAATGTGTAACAGGCAAAAATAAGTTGTGTTTTAATGTCAGATTTGTATTATGACGCTCATTATTTTGAACAGTTAATGAGTACAGTAGTTTGTCACCTACAGTTCACAACCAAGACGTGTTTAGCTTCCATGGAGTTGATGGGGTTGCTGATATTACAGGAATATTCTCCTCTGTCTGTTTTTTTTAGATGTTGAAAAGACAGAACTCTGTTGTTATCGTAAAGTATAATGTCAGTTTGATTTAGATCAGATCCATCCTTCATCCACTTTCTGGTAAACACAGAGCCAGCAGCGTCACAGGTTAAGTTGACAGAGTTCCCCTCTATTGGCTCCTTTGATGACGATGTGATAGAAGGATTTGATATTCTCTCTGTTGGACAAAAGATCACAGAAACTTTTTAAATGTATGAAGAACAAAAACACAGGTTCAGCGATAGATTAACAATCAATTTAAATATTCAACATCAACAAGGACTTTGAGCTTTTCCATGAAATGTGTTTTCCATCTAATTGAATATCATTGTTTAAAAGGTTTCACCTCAAGTCTTAATGAAATCTTTTAACCTGTGGTAACTTTTTCTGCATGGTTATAATGCTATAACCACTCACTATTCATTTCTGAATGATATTATTGATGTAATGAGTATTAGTATGAATGTAAATACTAAAAATGTGTGATGGATACACTGAGCACAAACCAAACGGGATGAGCTCAGCTGTCAGACTCACTCTGCATATTTAATGGTTACACCTTATCATATCTGATGACTGGTTCTGGGTGCAATGATTAACCAGTGTTGGAGCCTCCTCCCTATTCACTATCAGCACTGGTAAACTGTTTGGTAATGTTAGCCTAACAAACAGACACAATTGGACAACTATTATCTAAACTCCAAACAAAACAAAGAAAGATTTGTGAAAGGATTTATACTTGGTGGGTTAAATAGATCATAATTAAGAGTTCCGTTTCAGCACATGAAGTGCATTCACATGTTGATCAGGATTAAATGCGACTTCATTTGTGCAAAGTTATTTTCGCTGCACTGCCAGTTATGTTATATAAAAAAAAGTTATATATTTATGACAGTTTGTGATTGTAATTCAAATCTTTTTTTTGATAGGGGACCAAAAACATAATATTGAACATTCATGACTAAATGTGCAGCAGTTATACTTGTATACTTGATGCTTGATAATCCAACCAGAAAAACAAACTGAAGCATAAGGAAACAAACAAACAAACATAGAAAGCCAACATATTTCATCAGGATTTGATCAAAAGAGTCTCAAATCTTCATTTTACCACTGAAGGTGATGCTATTACATCATCATGTGGGCACCACACAGGTCTTTAAATGCAAATGTTTCCAGTAGTTTTGTTCTAGTATTAAGTACAAACATGTAGAGAATCATTAATAACATATTCTGATTTTGTTTGAGATGGTATGTGTTGAACCTATTTTACAGATCTTCCATTAAACCTCTTAACAGCTTAACATGTTTATTTATTGCTCTACTGCTGTGCATAATCTCCATTCAGCACTCTAACAGATGTATCAAGTGAAACATTGTCTTACCATAAACTCTCAGTGTGGTTCTGCCTTCAAACTCACTCACAGTTGTAATCCTGACTGTGTATTCTCCACTGTCACTGAGAGACAGACTCCTGAGCTCCAGAGATCCAGTAGAGGGGAAGAAGGTGATTCTTCCCTCATATCCAGGGTAAGTTGTGTTTTGAATATTTGAAATGATTATAGTTTTGTCCCCAAACCTCCAGTTAGTTGTTACAAATGGACTCTCTGGTGGATTCACTGTGGTAAACATCACTGTCCCTCCAACAGCTCCATTCAGAGGACCATCTGGCAACAAACCAACTCCACTAGTTAAACCTGGAAGACACAGAAACACATCTGAGGAGATCTCTAATCATGTGAAACACAGGGAAAACTCACGCACAACTTCACTCTTCTTCAAATCCTTGTAGTTCTTGTCATTGCATTTGATGTATTTTTAATGAAAGAAGCCAACTGCATTCTTTGTCAATGGTGAACATTTGAAGAAGATCACGAATTATCTTCGATGCTTTTGGAAATCATGTGTAAAAATGTACCCAGTCATTGAATGATCAGAGCGCACAGAAAATACAAACAAACAAAAAATCTATTTAAAATACCAAGGTTTGATTATTATTCAGACTTTAGAAGAGTAACATTTTTCTTTTCTTAGATAAATAAAGGTGTCCATATTTCCTCAACCACGTGTACAGGACTAACATTACATTTATTCTCTATTCAGAAAACTTAATGGTTAAAGATACTTAAAAGGCAGCACGTTTGGTACTTAGAATACAATTAGCTCCTCAATCATTGACCTAAATCATTTCCAGCAAATCTTCAACAACTTTAAATATAACAGAAATATGAACGGGGAAAGTAGAACAGGTGAACCTTACCTGTAAAAGACACAGAGACGATAAATAAAGCTAATGTATCCATTGATATTTCTTTGTGAGATTCACGCAGCTAACGGAAGGTCAACCATCAAACTTTGACTGTGCTTATTCATGTGAGCCTTCAACAGCTCCAGTCACACAAGTCAATCATCAAGTTCCTTTGTGTGGAGTTTTAAGACAGTCTGCATGAAGGGTCATCGACTAAAGCTGACACACCTGCGCCCTCTTGTGGTGGGTTATGCATGTTGTTTCTGGTGTAATTATACTATGACACAGGTTCAAAGGTTTATACAATAGCCTGTCCTGCTTTGATAACTCCAGACCTCCTGCCAAGTTCTACTGGTTTATCAATCATTCTTTATAGAGCACCAATTCATAATGTTTTTGATCTCAATACACTTTACAAAAAGAGCAGGTCTAGACCGTACTCTTATAGTATTTAAGACCCAACATTTATCCACCATGAGCACAGCACAAAACAACATTTAGCAAAGTAACAGTAGCAAGGATAAGCCTCCTTTTATACAGACAGAAGCCTCGAGCAGACTCATGATGAACAGTCATCTGCTGACTCTGTGTTAGGCTTACAGGAAGAGAGCTAGAACAAGACAAACAAACAGAAACAACAACAATAATGAATAAAACTGATTTATAAATACAATGCCAGTAAAAATGGTAAAAGTAAGTGTGGTATAAGCAGTAATAAAGTATGATAATTGACAGATTTGTCTAATATTAACAGAATAACTATAATGACAATATAATAAGCAGAAGTGTTAAAGTTAATCATAGCGGATGAAGTCGAGCAGCTCTTTGAGCCCCATTTCCATTCATAATAATGACGATAGACGTCAGACTGATACAAATGGAGACCAGCAGCCCGATCTCAGACTGATTAATATTCTGCACCACACCTGTTGGGACTCAAACAACAACAAACTGACAAACGTTGCATCATACCTGTGTCTGGATTGGATAAAATAAAGGATTTTAACATTATCAAATGAATCATTTACATACGTGTAAAAAGGGTGTACCAATCATAGGAGGCAGCTGTGGCTCAGTGGCAGAGTCGGTTCAATCCTCAGCTCCTGCAGTCACATGTTGAAACTAAAGACACTGAATGCCAAATTGCTTCTGCTGCTGCATCAGAGGCGTTTGAATGTGTATTAACTGGATTAGTTGATACTGATGGACACTACTTAGCAGCCTCTGCCATCAGTGTGTGAATGTGATGTGAGTGGGTGAATTTGACATGTGGTGCTTTGAGTAGTTTGAGTTGTCAGAAGACAGGAAGTCAATTTACCAAGTCCATCATTCCATGTGGAGGGCAAACATTTCTGAATGCAATCTGGTAACATAACCTTAGTATTTAATTATAATGTCAAAGTGTATTTGTCAGGTATGTATTTTATGGAATGAGCCCACGAAAGGGGGAAAAGCTTGTGGTGCCACAGAAAAAAAGATATAAGGATGTAGAAGCCATGTTCAGGAGTATGAAGTGTAAGACACAAATTTGGGTTAAGGTGATACTCTTTATAGGTAAGAAATTTCACTGGGGTGTCAGGTGTTGCTAGATCGAGAGCACATACACTTTTTTGACCGCTTTGCCACGCTATGAGGTAACACAGATGAAATCTTTGAATGGAAATTTATGGACAATTGTTGTGATCATGCAGAAATTACATTTATGAAGACCACAGTGGAATGAGAAATAAATATTCCATTAATGAAGAAGATATTGGACTGTCTTATTTCACAGTCTAACGCTCAGGAGAGAAGCTGAGTAGTACTGTTTGTACTAACATGAACCCTAAACAAGCATGGCATGTGCTCTGTGCTGTGCTAACATTGGCTATAGCAAGCCGGCAGCTTCCTGCACACATTTTTACAGCTCCAATATGTTAACCTCTACATTGCATTATTGATATGACATGACATTGACTTTTTGATCACATTTTATTATCTTATTCTAAGAAAAAATACAAAAATAATATAAATAGTGAAATACTTGTGATATACTCACTAAAAATCACAATGCAAGAGGAAAGCATTGGCTACAAATACTGGTAACAAAACACTGACAACATGAACATTAAATGACTATATTACTTTCAGCATAGGGTTCTTTTTCATATAATCAAATAAGCAGTACATTTCATTTCATTTCCAACCTTCATTTATTCTCGAAAGGAGATTGAAGTTTCTCTCATTTCAAATGGCGTCGAAATTACAAGCATGTTAAAACAAGCAACTTTTTTTAACATCTTAACCTTCCGGTTGAGAGGCAACGACTCTACCAGCTGAGCCACAGCCGCTGACATGACTCTCAGTATGTGAGTAGAGCATGTGTTTTCAAACATTTTGTAAGCTTTATACTTTTAGAGTGCAGCTTGATGTGGGTGCTTGTAGGACCCTGGGGGAGGGTTATACAATAAGGGTGACTTAAGAAAGTGGTATTTCTCCCTTTTAGTTCCAGGGGCTTCTCTTCAATGAACTTAAAGGTTCTTGTGGCCTATAGTAGTCAGCATGTCAAACGCTGCCTGAAGTCCTGGATAAACAATGCAAAGCAGGCTGTATTGCTTTGTAAATGGATTCATTGATTGATGATTGAAAGGAGAGTGTGTGTTTTGTTAAAGAATTAAAACTCACTCCCATCCCCCCCTCCCCATTTCACCCAAAGCCAAAGAAACACTTTATAAGATGATAAATGATATTAACCCCTACTTAAAAAATAGTTGATATTGGAAAAAAAAAAAAAAAATTGTAATTATGAAATTACAAGCGTGAATGTATTTTTGTTTTAGTAAAAGTCAAACCACTTTTTTATCTTTATGAATGACTTTATAAACTAAGAAAAAATATATTAAAACTCAAGAATCTTCAGAGATAATCAAAACTGCGTAGGTTTTGATTCCAGATTATACCTCTGACTGTTCTTCTTTTGTTGTTTTCTTTTTATTTATACGTTTGTTTAATTCCTCTGTTCTTTAAGTCTTGCTTAGTGTTTTTGTACTTTTTCATAATAGTAACAGAACAGGTAGAGGTGGGGAAAAAGCAGTCTTGCAGGCTTATAGATTCAGTATTTTAAACATTACAGGTGGTCTAAAACCCTGCTGAGCCTGACCAAACAGATTTGTTCAACACTGCAGGAGCTGCATACCCTGCTCCCCAAAGTTCCTGGTTGAAAAAGGGGCTGTAGTTGTGACACATACCTGTTCTTTCTGGTGAACCATCTGGTGTGGAGATAGCTAATGCTGTAGATGGTAAAAGTATCACATAATCTAGAGTTAACCAGAGAGATGTTCATTAATATAGTGTTTATGATAACATAAACAACATAATCATAGTGTTTCACAGGTCTTTCTATGCTCATTGATGTGAATTCTCTCCATGGAAGTCTAAATGGCGACCTCTGGTGGACAGAGTTGTCACATCCACTCAATGTCTTGCAGGATTGATTATTGCAGGTGTGCCTACAGCCCCAACTCAAAGCTGTAGATCTCTACTATCTCCATCTACTACCTCTGCCATGCGTTCCTGAGCAAGACTTGTTGTTGATGTTTATTTATCTTCTGTTTCTTGAATCTGTTTGAGTTCACTATTAATTTAATCAAGATGGTAATTGTTTGTTCATAGTTTCGTGATTAGTTTATATTGTTAATTTGTAAAATGTGTCGTTGATACCACAGAAACCACGGCTTTGGATGGGAAATAAATCCTTGAAACTGCAACCCCTGTCATCTCTTTGATTTTTGAGTCTTAGGCACAATCTTAAGAACTTGAGAAATTTTAATACCCACTATCATCACTCCTCCACTCCCCTCCTCTTCCACCCTCCACTCGGCTGACACCAGACATGTTTGCCTCATATTTTGGCACTAACAATTACCTCACTCACCTCATTCAACCCTCTGACCGAGGACAAAGTGTCTCAGCCTGTATTAGACTCTCGGCCCACCACCTGTCCTCCAGACCCAATGCCATCAAACCCCCTTAGGACCATTTCCTCTACCTTCTCTTTGTCAACGGGTGTTTTCCCCACTGCATTGCTGTTTCAAAGTCGCTTTTCATCAAATTAGGTAAATGATTAATTCACTCCTACACTGATGCAGATATATTAACACAAATCACATTAGACATTACTTCCTTATACGACCATCATAATCGAAATCCACATTCTGATACTCACTCATCCTTTAGGGCTTGGTCAGAACTGTGAAACATCACTCTTTTCTCTGTTACACTTGACGGGACGTTGGATAAAATGGAAAAAGCTGTGATCAGCATCCTCCTGGGAGTCTTTTCAGGTAAGTTATCACCATGATACAGCACATACATAAAGATTTTCCATCAGCTTACTCAAGGACACAAAGAAAGATTTTGTCACATAAACTGGTATTTATCATTTGTTTTAGGAAATGGAAATGATCAATATCTTCTTTCAATAACATCATGTAGATCCCATGGCTGGAAAAATATCTGCTTGCTTCAAAGTAGTTAGCAAACAGTTCAAACTCAGTACAGCCTGGCTAAAAAAACAAGACTTAAGAACATTTAACTAATCTGATTTAATTGTACTTTTATTGGCTACACTAATATTCAATATATCAAATGCACAACCAGAGAGCAATTTACTTTCAAGGAAATAATTGTCTTCTGTCAATGTAGATATTATGAATAGAAACTTTAACCTAATGTATAAAAACATGTACTGTATATCGGAGGCTATCTGAAAGTGTTTGACCAACTGTTCTTTTTGTATTTTCCTTAATGGACATTTTTTAATGTTTGGGTTTTGAAAGAGAAAGCATCAAATAATAAAAGCACTGCATTACATTTCAACAAAAGACCTGAAACCAGCCTTGTGTTAATCATTGATTCAAGTTTGACTTTAACCTCTACAAAAAGCAGAAATGATTTCCTTCATTAAGAACAGAGGGCCTATTTTAGTTTGGATCTCTATCAGATGCTGTGGAATAATTGTTATTATCACAATCCCCTTAAAGTAATTTTCTTAAAGTGTTTCTGTGTCTTCCAGGTTTAACTAGTGGAGTTGGTTTGTTGCCAGATGGTCCTCTGAATGGAGCTGTTGGAGGGACAGTGATGTTTACCACAGTGAATCCACCAGAGAGTCCATTTGCAACAACTATCTGGAAGTTTGGGGACAAAACTATAATCATTTCAAATATTCAAAACACAACTTACCCTGGATATGAGGGAAGAATCACCTTCTTCCCCTCTACTGGATCTCTGGAGCTCAGGGGTCTGTCTCTCAATGACAGTGGAGAATACACAGTCAGGATTACAACTGTGAATGAGTTTGAAGGCAGAACCACACTGAGAGTTTATGG